CATGCTGTGTTTTGTGCTCCCTTTAGCACCCGACCTGGTCCGAACAGTGCCGTGCTGTGAGGTAGCTTGTTGCTGTGCGTGGACAGCGCTGTCACCTGCGCGCCATGCCCGACGTTTGTGCTTTGTGCCGGTGTGTGACGTCATGCCCCCCCACCATCACCACCACGGCGCGCCATGCCCGACGTTGGTGCTTTGTGCCGCTGTCTTACGTCTGCCCCCACCAGGTACCACAAGCTGGCATTCATAGTGGTGGTGGACAAGGAGAACCTCACGCAAATTGCGATGCAGGCGCTGTTGGAAACCGAGAGGCACGAATCCTTCGTTTTCTCGATGGAGTCCTTCAAGAAGCTCATCCGCGGAAGCAGCCCACAGGTGAAACGACGGTGTGACGCTGTGGAGCGGTAGCGAGGGTGAGACGAGGATGGCCACGTGCCCCCGACAAATAGCGCAAAATACCCCCATCCGATCAACACTAAACTACATCTTGAAACAGCCGTACGCCATGCATTGCCCTGAATGTCTTGTGTCCCCTGCCCGCGCGTGGTTACTTCCGTGGCGAAGTAGGTGATCTTCACGGACACAGATCAGTCAGAGATGTCGGCCATCGCGCAGGTCTTTCCGGGGGCGCTAAACAAGCTGTGCTACTGGCACACGGAGCAGAACGTGAAGGAGCATGGGAAGGGACTTCCGCAGGCTGTCATCCAGGGAGTGCTGCGAAAGTTCAAGGCAGCGGCATACGCGCCAACGGTCGGGGTGAGAGAAATCTTGTTTAGCACATATAGCGTTTACCCCACCTGCGTGAAATCCGCCAGATTGTCGGCAACCCCCGTCCTGTTGAAGACCGCCTCGGGGACAGTGAAGTGCAAACGTTCCTACTGCACGTGGTGACACCGTATGCCTTGTTTTTCATGTGTGCTTTCTCTCTCCCACCTCCTTTCGTACACTCCCTCGCACGCTCCGCGAAATCTCGCTCTGGCAGGCTTTCGTCGAGGCAATAACGGAGCTCCTCGCGATGTTGGACCCGGAGAGCAGAATGTTTTAAGTACATGGCAGGAGACATCTTCAGCCCAGGGTAAGCACCGCTACACATGGTAGCCTCGGAAGGCGATGGAAGCAGACCCCAAGTGTTGTTCTGCGTGTACAATATTTCCTGCTTAGGACGCATCGTAAGGCAGCGACGTTTTCGTCCTTGTGTGTCTCCTAACCTTGCGCCATGCCGTAACGTGTAACAGGCGGGCTGGCAGGTGGGCGGCATTTGTCCACCCTGGGCTTCACACCCTCGGCATTGCCTCCACGCAGCGGGTGGAATCCATGAACTGCGCCTTCAAGAAGCTGGTGACCAGTACGGGAGACTTGTTCGATCTTGACCGTGCCATCGTAGGCAAGGTTAGCGATGGCAAGATCAAGGCCGAAAGGTGGGATGGCATGTACTTGCGGCCCCGTGTGTCAGGGACAGCCCATGGCAAGTGACGGTGGTGCGCCCTTCTATGTAGAGGATACTGGCGGGTGCGAGGACGTCGCATCTGGCGGAACCGAGCTCGTCTATGGCCTGCCTTGCCCGCATGGCTTGAAGTCCATGTTCGACACCGGCCACAGGACATTCAACGGAGCGTCGATTGCGCCCCGGTGGCGTGACAGTCTCACGCCATGGACGTTGGAGGGGCTGGCCGCGATGTCTGCCATGCTGGACCTCGACGCCGCCGACTGTCCCGTGCAGCTGCTGCCCTCAACCTCAACGCCGACGACACGTCCCACTCAAGCACGAACGTGCAAGCAGCCGCCTACGCGAACGGTGTCTCCTTCGGAAAAGACATGGGTGTCCTTCTCCGAGATGTCGCTACTCTGGACGGCATCGATTGCGTCTGGGAGAGCACGAAGGTCTTCTTCAAGCAGCAACTAGAGGTGGAGAAGAGATCGCAACGACTAGCGTCAACGACACAGGTCTTCACGGGTACCATCTCCGAACCCACCTCCGGCCTGCCAACCGGAGATGGCGGGCGTACCAGGAGCTCGAAGCAGACACGGGCCGCTCCGGGCGGTCGCGGCACGGTGGCGACGGCGAGGGGCAGGGGGGCGCCTGCACCTGCGGCTACCATTGGTGCCATCCCGGCCCCACTTCGTTCTTTGAGCAACATGGATGTGACTGGTGGCGCAAGGGCGACCCAGCCCGCCGCTCTCGCGTCGTCGGAAGAAGTGCAGTCGCCCATCTCTCGGCCCAGGGGGGGAAGCGGCAAGCGGAAGAAATCGGGAGGGAAATAGCGGGGGTACATCGCCGCTCACAAATGAGCCGCGAGGGAAAGCGTCCACATTTTGCCGTTGCCCTCTTGTTCTCTTGGTTTGTGTCGCGTACGGCATTGGATTACAAACACGCACCACAAGCAGGGGGGGCTTCGCTTTAGAACCCACGACGGGTTGTTTAGGGGTGGGGGGAGGAGAGCGTGTTAACCGCACTGAATCTAAGCACGCACTGCTGTTATCCGTTGCAGTGGGTCGTTGGGAGCGTTGGCTGGGAGGAGCACTACTTCTGTCTCGCTTTGCTGATCTGCATGACATCGATAGAAGGCCCAGCAAATGGTGTTTCTTTCGTCGCCCGTCGACTTGTTTGTGCTATTATCGCATGCAAACCTGTCTTTGGAAAGACCTTGCGTGTTGATTTTCAACGAGAGTGACCGTCGTAAGAGAAAAAATCATACAAGCCGCCTGCCCGCCCCCGCGTCGAACACGGCCCAGCAGCTGTGCAGTCAAATCAAGCTGCCCCTATGCCTTCGGACAACATTACCACGAAGCACAACCACCACAAACGCCATGCACGCGGCACCAACCCCCCTTCCCAAAAAAACATGATGCACCGACTGGAAATGACCAAAAAAAAACATCACTCACAGGGTGGTGTGTTTCCTTGTCCCAAATCATGACTCCCTCGTCGTACGCTCGGGCACTTTCGCCGATCTGCCCCACCCATGTGTACCCCCTCTCCACCAACGCCCTCTCCTCCAGCGCCCTCACGACATCCCAACGTCCCTCGCTAGCAGCCGACTGCATGATAGCCTCACTGTATTCCGATCCACTGTATTCCCATCCATTTTCGAGGCACCACAGGACCATCTCCACATGCCCAGCACGCGCGGCATGCTCAATTACACGCCCCCACCCTTCCACATCAAAGCATTGACTACAGAAGTCCGCAGTAACCGCGCCGCAGCGCTCCGACACCACCGCAGCATTTCCAAACCCCCGTTGCGTCGGCTGCCTCCAAACCCTTGAGAGGTCCAGTGCCAACCCGAGCCCTGAGGCACCACGTCGAAATGGCCTTGCGCTGCAGCATGCACTACTATCTGTGTTGTACAGGACATTGCGGTTGTCGTCTCCGANAGTCCGCAGTAACCACGCCGCAGCGCTTCGACACCACCGCAGCATTTCCAGACCCCCGTTGGGTCGGCTGCCTCCAAACCCTTGAGAGGTCCAGTGCCAACCCGAGCCCTGAGGCACCACGTCGAAATGGCCTTGCGCTGCAGCATGCACTACTATCTGTGTTGTACAGGACATTGCGGTTGTCGTCTCCGACCACATACTCCTGCAGGCCTGCCAACATGACCCCGTCACCACTCCTCGCGTACTCGTAGCAACTGTCGTCCAACCACGCACGTTGGATCGTCACAAATCTTGTCAGAGGCCCCAACATTTCCAACTCTCTATCCTGTAGCGCAGCTTTCACGCGTGCCGTGGCCAACTCATTCGCCTTAGCCCTGTCCGCAATCTCCTCGTCTTCCGGAAAGCAACAAGCCACGAGCTTCGGCGAGTCTTCCTGGAGAGCGCCGCCGTCATCTCCTGCCAGCGAACAAAAAAGTCATAACTGCTGTAGGTATAGAGTACCGATTGGACATCACATCGCCTCACGGTCACACTGCGGTTACACTGCAATACGGAAATTCTGCAGCGCATCCACTCACTGCGGTTGTCCGGTTTGCCGTACACACATCCCTGCTGCTGTGGATCCACACATAAACTTTAGGCAGAGCTTGACGGAAATTAAAACAAATTTGGAGGGAGAACGACATGCGCAAAGACCATCAGGAGTATTCTACTCGGTAACCAATCTTTCACGGCCGAACGACAACGACAGCATATCGGTCGTGGNTAAACTTTAGACAGAGCTTGACGGAAAGTAAAACAAATTTGGAGGAAGAACGACATGCGCAACGACCAACAGGAGTACTCGGTAACGACTCTTTCACGGCCGAACGACAACGACAGCATATCGGTCGTGGACGTCGCGAGCCCCGAGGTGCAAAACCAACGCATGCAGAATCTAACGGTCTGCTGTCTGCCCTCTCTTACCTTCCACAGAGGCGCCTACGGTGATTCCGGTGCCATGTGATGCAACCGCGTCTGCAAGAGTGGNGTAACGACTCTTTTACGGCCGAACGACAACGACAGCATATCGGTCGTGGACGTCGCGAGCCCCGAGGTGCAAAACCAACGCATGCAGAATCTAACGGTCTGCTGTCTGCCCTCTCTCTTACCTTCCACAGAGGCGCCTGCGGTGATTCCGGTGCCATGTGATGCAACCGGTCTGCAAGAACGATATCCATACGGCGTCTTGCGTGTGAGTCTCCTGTGTGGCCATCAGAGCCGTCGCCGGTGCGTGCGGTGCGCGGTGGTGTGTTGTGCGGGCCGTGGGGATTTCAAAATGGGTTCTGCAAGGTTCTGTGTAGGCTATGTAAAGGATGGTTCTGGAGGCGTTTTTAACTTGTGCACGGAAACTCCCACAGTAGTTACTGGGGGTATTAACGCGCTTGCCCGCTTGCCCTGTTGTTCCGGGGCCCGGGGCGTTGTTGTTGTTGTTGTTGTTGACTTCACATTAAACCGTATGCCAGTTGCTAAATGCCAAAATCTAGCAAAGACTCTCAGCCCGTGGTCACGAAAGTGCTAGAGCCATCTGAGGATCTAAAGAACACGCACACGTAGCAAGAAAAAGGTATACAAGAGCCCGAAGAGGTACTACTACACCTATATTAATCAATCCCTGCAGCACCGTACGCGTGCCCAAAACTGAACTACACGTCCGTCTCACCGTTCGACTACAGCAGTAACATCACCCCCTACCTGTCCCACTCTGTACCAAAACGAATGATTGCCGACTACAGCATACTTGCTGTCTGAAGTGCTGTCTGTACAAAAACACCATGGTAGGCATGGAACAAGAAGCTGGCGGGGCACAAAGCTGCTGTCTGAAGTNTTTTTTCGCCTGACCCCATCAGTGCCGACCCAACTACACCACCACGCGCATGCCTCGCGGCGGATATGCGCAGCAGCAAGAAGGTTTCGGTCATCCCTTGAGGGTGAGTCTAGCCCTGCTCGCCAGAAAGACCCCCCCCTTCACTACAACCCATGTCTAGGCAAAAGCTTGTCGAGGAGCGAGGGGAAGAAGGGAGAAAAGTACTGGCACAGAAAAACCGCGTGCCAGTCAGTACAGCGACCTAGGCCTACCCACTGCACCACAACCTAGCTTGGGGTGTTGGGTTTGGGTTAGAGTTAGGGATAGGGATAGGGTTTAGGGGTGGGTTAGGCCTAGTGAGGCCTAGCGCCTTGGTGCTGCCTGAGGGCTGGAAACCCGCTGTGGCTTTGGTTTCGTGTCTACCTCCAACCACAACCCAAAAATTGTTGAACTGGCGAGCGTTTTTTCTGTGCCAGTACTGGAACGGGCTGAGAGTCTTTGCTAGATTTTGGCATTTAGCAACTGGCATACGGTTTAATGTGAAGTCAACAACAACAACTGGCAAATTTTCGCCACCCGGTTCCGGGTTCCGGGGGGCGCCCGGAAATTATGTATATAAAATGAAAAATTTTTGTCACCGGGTTCCGGCACGGGGGGAGGGGGTGACGCGGAATCGTTCAGTGTCACACACCTGCAGTTCACTAGATATCCTTCCTCTCTCTCTCTCTCTCTCTTTCTCTCTCTCTCCCTGGTGGGGGTACAGCAGAATTTCTCAGCATCCACACAAAACAGGTGAATTTCGTCGGATTTACAGAGCCGATTCTCAAAAGTAGACGTTACATATAACTATATAAATATTATTTTGTAACGTCTACTTTTGAGAATAGGCTCTGTAAATCCGACGAAATTCACCTGTTTTGTGTGGATGCTGAGAACTACTGTTGTACCCCCACCAGGGAGAGAGAGAGAGAGAGAGAGGAAGGATATACAACAGTATGTGCAACTGCCGTACCTGAATTTGTCCCGATATCCACCGTATTGTTTTTGGGAATGTTGTGGAGATAATTGTCTAGACTATATGTCTTGTATTCGTGACGCCGACGACTCGTCACCTGTATGTAGTACACGTCTACAAGTAGTACTTCTTGGTTTGTACGAGAGTCGACTTTGAGAGCGAAATACCAAAACCGCACGCACGTACCGTATATGATTGTAAACTTCAGCGTCTTTGCCTTCGTCAACAGCCGTGATCGACACCATACATTTCTGTCCCTGTGGCAAGAAGACGTCCGCATCGCATCCGTGCTGGTGTTGTACCTGGGATCGTCAAGCACACATCATCTGACATGATTCATGACGACATTCGCACCGCGAGGAACATCTTCATTCGAAAAGCTTGCTCTCAAGTTCCGGAGGTGGTCCATCCTGCATCATGACGGGCATCGCAAGCTCGCCGACATTCATGTTTGAAGACACCCGGCTTCGAGACTACCGCTACATTCGTGAGGGTCTTTTGAGACGGGGCTGGCAACAGGTAACATTTCCTCCCCGGCGTCACCGACGAGAAGACTTGTCAAGATCAAGCCTCAAATACTCAGACCGAAAACACTCGTGTTGGGTACGCCACAGAGGCGCCATGGGGATGGCCTCTGAAGGCCAAAAGGACGTTGTATGCCCTGATTTGATTTGGACGCTGAGCTCTGGGCGCTCGCCCGGGTTAGACAAGCTAGGCCCGCAGCAGGCCACCAATTTCTTCGGGACCGGTTCATCGTGTCTTACTACGAAGGTCAGTAGTCTGTTGTCTACTGAATGCCTGACAGCATAACGTACTGTTCAAGCGTGGTCTACAACCAACAGATGGATGAGACGGCGCAAAATTCACACAATGAATGGTGCACCGAACAGTGTCTGACCTTTTGATTGACTGCACATACAGACGCGTGGGATCATCAACAACTGCTATATCTCTGTAGACTACAGAGAGATCGTTTTTTCATGAGTTTATTGCGGTGTTCACCAAGTACAACCTGTCTGTGAGCTGCGGCAGCAGATACTACAAAGATGGGAAGGTTCTAGGTTGGTCGTGATAGACTAGATATTTTCTTTCTCGGTACAATAAATGAAACCTCGTGGTGTGTAGAGGACCACTCAAGATGATGTCTGGTTGTAATTTGTGTTGATTTTCTTCCTAGGCGGGCCTTTGCCATACTCTCCAAAGCCCTCAGAGTCCCACAGGAAGCGGAGAAACAGAATCGCCAAGATCATTCTTCCCTCGATGCTTCGATCTCGGCGACTCGTCAACACTGGACGAATTCAAGCATGATTACCAACAGACGGCGGCGGCAGCAGTGCTTAAGGCAGGTGCCTGTTTGATGATAGTGATTGCCAGAAAACACACCGTGGTTTCACGGTGGGGTGATGTTTTCTGTGCAATTTACGCATGTCATGGGTCTTCCGGCCAAATCATCTGCAGGAGAAGAACCATACTGAGCCATGCTGGAGCGGATACAGCTAGCTGACGTTTGTTGACTGCGGCGCGTCCACCATACCTTCAACCCAACCGAAGGTGTTCTGCAGATTGCCAGAGGAATCGCCAATGCACACATGGAAAGAACCTGCTGCCAGCAAGCCTTCTATGTGTCTTCTTGACCAAGCTGACTCAACCCGCCCCTCTGTGGGTAGACGAGGCGTTGGAGGATGCTTTGGAGATGTGCACCCTTGGATGCTGGCTCTCGCTGTTAGAGCTTGCCGTCGTCGCTTGCTCGAGATGTCGGGCTGGCGGGAAGATCACAACGGTAACCAGTGGCCAAGCTAATCCCGCCACAAACACAACATTCCATGTTTTGCTCTACATAGGCTAACCCGTAGGTCACCATCGACATTTGTGTAATCCTTCGTGACCCCATGTTGTATTCCATGAAGCCAATGGCGCAACCTCGGGTCGTACCCCTGGAGGTCTTTGACGTCTTACCACAAATTATGGGTATTCCGTAAGACAGGGTGACGCAACGTTTCAGATCACACAAACGATGTTTGCCCGCGGCGCTGGACACTCCTCCACTCTTTGCGCAAGTGATGGTGTGCCACGGTAGAAACATGCGATTTGCGCGTGAGACGTGCCGGGCCGTAGGCCATATCCTGCGTTAAACGGCTCCCACATTGTTGGTCGCCACGACGCGTTTACGTTGGCGACCTCGAAAACGCATCGACGATTTCAACCTCAAGCAGGGACGCCGTCAAGTGCAAACGGAGCCGAGAGCCTTTCCAACCAAGAATGGCGATCACTCTTACTCTACAGCTACATCTTGCGGAGAGTTGCGCATGGCCCGTCTGATACCGCGGCCGACATCGCCTTCACCACTGATAACTCCCGCTCAGCCCATGGAGTGAGTAACTCTGCGCGGCCGGACTGGGACAAGCTAAAAGAACCAAGTCCGGACTGCGCCTACGTCGGTACCAACGCCTGTGGCGTTTCTCCTTCTGGAGTGGGACTGAGGGGGTTACAAGGTATTCGAGGCACGTCAGCGAGGACCATCGTTCGAAACACTGACGGCAAGATTGCGAGGAGACCATCGTCTGCACCCGCGGGGCGACACGTTGACAGGGCAATCGCTGAGGGACGGCATCGCTTCCCGATGCACCGGGAGACCACCACAACAGACGCGACGTTTTCAGCAGGACGTGGAATATGTCGCCAGAGCTTACATCGCGCTGCACCTGGAGAATGGGCGCAACAAGAAATCGAAGATTTACGGAGAGGTTTGGTGAGTCGAGTGTCCTGACGAGATTATGAGCCGCACAGATAGACCGTGGTGCATGCAGCAGGGTGCCCAGTTGCGGTAGACGTGGATATCTTCGCCAAACATACTGTGCGGTTCCTCCTTGCTTTTGGCCTCCTCCCTACATTCTGAGTGTTGTGCAAGTCGTAGCATTTTTTGTGCCCCCCACACATGGTGGGACCCGGCATGCAGTGCGTACATCGTGCGGTCGAACCACTTCCACGTGGATGATCATGACCTCGTGATGCGGTTTGGTCGACTCGCCTTCATATTCCCTCTATCGTACTCGAACCGTACCCCGTCAAAAAACGTTCTCGAAGTTGAAAATATGGGGCGCCTCAGGGCTCGACAAGCCCACCTGCTGCACCTGCCCGCACGGCATACCTGAAGGTCGCGGTAGAACTTGTGGCTCTGCAAGACAGCGAGAAATAGAACTGGAAGCAGTCCAACTTTGCGCAGCGCTGGAGAGGAGGTGTCCTCAGTGGACCATGGATGGCGAGCGTAACCTGTGGATGCTAAAAGTGAGTTACAACACTTCATGGAGCTGTGTGACAATGGTGCAAAATCGTGGCGTGGACAAGTGTATATTTTGATGGTCCTCATGAGTGTGTTACGTTCACGTTGGTGCGAAAGCAGCACTCCGAACTCTGCAACAACTTGGGACCCCAGCATGTTGGTATGGTGAGGTCTCTCTTTGCCGCTTGCCCTGCTCCAAGCAACCATAAGACGGTGTAATTGTCCCGTTATCCCTTGTTGTCCGGTGAACGCCCGTCGACCTATTAGCCCGCGGGTGCGTCGAGAGGCCAAGGTGTCCGGGTCGCATGGACCCTGGATCAGATCCTCTACGCACAGAAAACGATGGGAGGCAGGGTCGTCCAGAAGTACGTTGAAACGCCCTTGCTACTGCCTCGTCCTTCGCAACAAACAAAAACGCCCGCGGGCTCTCGACACACCTACCTCCGCAGCAGTAGAGACATTCCTCGAGCGGGCAATCTTGGAGGTTGCGCGAGAGAACGGCGGTTGGGGGAGGAGAGCGACAAAGGGATGATCAAGGCTGACGGGGTCGAAGTAGTCGGTAGGGGCCAAATGGAAATCGTGGCTTCCTTGGAGGCAGTCGATACCGAACCACCTGCTTTCAGTGGCAACACAACCTCGCCACCACGCAGTCCCGAAGGACAGGGAGATGACACGAGCTACCACTCAAGAGGTCCTACAAAGAAGGTCGATACCAACTCGGGAGCCTTTGCAGATGCGCGGAAGTTCGACATTCGGACATGGGTTCTGGTCACAGGGTGGAGTCCTCTGGAAGCGTTCGTGTTCGACGAATGCTACCTGCGTGTGTGCCCTCAGAGCTTTACGCTAGTCGAGTCGAGGCTTGGTGATCAAGGTGTTCACCTCACCAATCTCTCTGTGCGGAGGCCAGTCAAGACCTACGGCAGGCGACGGGGGCAAGGGCACACGCGACGGCCGTGCTCAGCATCGACAACAGGCCTTCGTGCGGTAAGCCACGAGGGTGGTGGTGCCCTCGCCCATCTCTCGGAAGACGTGCCGACCCAGGGACCCGCGGGGCAACGACAAGATCCGCGGTCCAGGGATGCGTGGGATGCAGGAGAAGGCGTTGTGGGGACCCAGGCGGAACTCATCCAAACGCTTGGCGGGTTGATCGGAGAGGGGCATGTCAAGAAGTCGACGCGGAGCAGGGAGGAAGATGTACGAACGAGAGGGGAGCGACTGTGGAGAAACAAGGTTTCGCCGTCGATAGACAGGGTCATCGGAAGCACTCTCCTTGCTGCTCAGCCTTACATGAGGCCAAGGGCCTCATCTTTCCAACTTTACGGTTTTGACCTTCACCTGGACTGCGACTTGAACCCATGTGAGTGCTGGATTCTAATGGCACATTCGGGAAGAATCAGAGATCGCAGATAAGTTCGCGAGTGACCTATGGTCGAGTCAGATACTATTTGCTTCACACCTTGTCAAATAACATTGGAACCCCGCCGGCTACTTGTTCAGGGCTCCTCGAGGTAAACCTTTCGCCGGCGCTGAGCCATACTTGCAAACGACAGAGCGCCATCATCCGTTCCATGTGCGAGGGGTTATTGAGTCTTACGGTGGACCGTATGTTCCCGGCGCTGCAACCGTCCTCGTCGTGCGGTGGTGTTGATCGCGAAAGCAACGAATCCGACAGCCTGAAGCAAGCGGAAGAGCAGCATTGCTCGAGAAAATGGAGGTCAATATGTCCCTCGACCGTAGGGCGCCAGTCTGCCGTTGACGTGGGTCAAAGCATAGGACACCCAAGCGCTGAAGTACTGTCGTTGCGAGGCCAGCACCTCACGAAGAAAGGCCTGGCTCGGGCAGAGCGCGGTGTGCGAGAAGCCACAGCCGCGAACGTTCTGAGAGCGTGGTGGTTATCAAGAGCTGATGAGTGTCGGGAGAGACGATCAAGAAAATCGCATGCAGTCGCCGAGATTAGCCCGTGGATAATCAGGCTGATAGCTCGCCGCAGGCGGAGAGCGCTACAGGCCAAGAATGAACGATCGGCGCAGGTTATCCAGGCGGGGTGGAGGCGAGCAAGTGCAAGAATGTTTGAGACCCGGAGCCACATCGCCCGCGTTGCAGCCTGTGTTGTTCTGCAGACGATGTGGAGGCATCGAAAGCTCGAGCGCTGCTACCGTTCCCGACAAACTCGTTGCAAGGTGTCTTCAGGCCTTCGCAGGTGGGCCGGCAGTTTTCTCGCTCGGAGACGAAAGAGGGCCGTCGAGATTGTTCGCCGTACGGTCTTCGATGCGGCTATGCGACAGAAACAACATCAGCGACACGCCGCTGCGGTCATCGCGCGAGGGGTTGGGGCAGCCTGCAAACGACGACGACGCAGTCGTATCGTACTACAGCGGTTCGCCAGGATGCCGTGCTTGCTGCAAGTACGACTCGCAGCTCGTACTTTGGAACGGGCTTCTCGCATTGAGAGTAGGGCAGCTACGACCATCGCCAGAGCGCTTCAAAGATCAATGGAGCAATCCAATACTGTTCGGGCGATACGCAGTCTCCAACTTTGGTCTCGGAGGGTGCTGTGCAGGCGAAGACAACTGTTACATACTTCGACATCCGTAATTCAGCGGGGATGGCGGCGCGCACGTCAGCAAAAGATGGCACGGACTAAGACACAGCTTTTGAAAGTGCATGTGGCGCCACGACCACCGTGGGAAACTGGAGCGACAGGTGTTGTTGTTGCTGAATCATCGACCGCACCCACAGGAGCGTTTGTGGCTGCAGACGATCCGCGGACCCTTGTCCCAGTCGGTGTCGGCCACCTCGATCTATCGGGATGCGGGGAATATGGGAAACGAATTTACAGCGGCGGCGGAGCGACATCATCTCAGTCTTCTCGTGGCTCTTCTTCTACACGCAGGACAACGGATGAACAGGTCCACTGTTTCCATGATAGAGATATCTCGACGGCATTCTGCGATAAGTTGCTGTCTCCAGTAACTACTACGCTCGAGTATTGGACTTCTCCCGACCTGGACCTGGTCGAGGAAGGCCTGGGGAGCTGTTGCAACCAAACCTCTGCTGACAACCCTCTGTCATACGACGAAGGGTACTGCAGCACGTTGGTCACGCTGCGAGGATCCATTAACTTCAATTCCAGAAGCACCAGTTCTCCGAGGAGCAACGGGAGTCGTACAAGTGTTGAAGAAAATCAAGCAAAGAGAGCGCCATCGGGGAATAACGAATGCTCCAGCGGAGTGCTAAGGCTGGAAGACATTTTGCCCGGCTACAACTCACGCCGTCGTAAGACGACGCGTCTTGGTAGTGTTAAGGGGCGTGGTCGATCCGAGTTTCGTTGCGGCCGCCGGCCATCGGGGGCAAGTGACTCCTCCGGCGGCGACAGCTGGCGGGCGATGCCTCCATTGTATGGTGACGGGCAGGGTCGTTCATATCCACTGGCAGGAGGAGCCCAACAAATAGATAGAAGTAGGCATGGACGGACTCGACAAGCTGACGCGGCAGTCAACCCTCCATCCCATGCTGTCAACGGAAGAGGCCATCGACGCAAAGCGACCGGGAATAATATCGATTGCGCCCCCCGCAGGTTCGGGTTTCGTAACACCGGGGAAAGCAGTGACGCTCGGAAATTGAGCACGGGATGGAAAGGGGCACCAGGTGTTGACCGGGCTTCCTGTAGGAACGCGAGTGCAGCAAATCCGTCCACCAGGCGCACGTTTGCCACGAGAACAACCGGTAGAGGGCTGGGCAGGCTAGGTGTCAGGGAGAGAGGCAATCAGCGACCAAGTCGGAGTGGGGGTAGCACTCGATATGGCAAGACTGGTGGGGTTCTAGAGATGCTGGCGTTCTTGGAGGCGTGACAGAACCGTATGGTACCGCTTGTGATTTGCAGATGAATCGCCTTTGAAAAAGAACCCAACAAGGCATGCTTCACATGAAAATGCCAGATCGTGGTACAAATCGCCCTACTACGATGATGGTCGTAACGTCGTCTGTGTATATTTATATGTGGTTGAAGAGTGGTGAATGGTATGCTCGATGACGTTAGGCCACCCGAACAATTTGACGAATGGCACAAGGAAAGAACGGATGCTCCAAGCTGTTTTTTCTGATACGCTGAAGGTTGCCACCGCCGACCTGAAGGCCGCCATCCCATCCCCTCGACCAGAGTGTCGAAAAAATGAAATTACGGCGGCAGTAGACTAGTCTACCCTGGGTCTTGCATCCAAAAACTCACCTCGTGTTGAGATCCTCCGGGCATGCCAGCTTTGACCAACGATAGATAGATTAGATAAGAGTACCTTCCCCCTCTATTTTTTCGTTGGTCCAAGTAATATCGAAACCTCGTTCGCGTATGACTAATTCCGTATCTGTCGTCCCGACGTCAGGGGCGATCTTCCCCTGGGGGTGTTCCGCGGTAAAGACGAATTGTCTCTCCCGCGGCGAGGAAATACTCGAATGAAAAACCGTTTTTGCATACATGTCTAAAACGACGTTTAAAAGCATAAAAAAAAGAGAAACAAAAAAAAATGAGATCGGATCGCCTTGATTGTGTTTTTTCACCGCGTTGCCGATTTCGGCGCCTCCATTTCTCCTCGGCAATCGATTCCGCTTGGCCGATTTAGAGGGGGTAGAGCCACTCAGAAAGTTGATCAGACAAAAACTCGACGTGGGAACCGAGAATCCACAATCCCAGGAATTTTGAAATTGCTCAGCTACTGTCAGCTTTTGAGCAGCTGAAAGTCCATTGCAAATCAAAACTGGGACATTCCAACAATGTATTTGTGATCCCCACCCCAAAATTACCCTAATTCGAAGTCAGGAGAGATTGAATCAACATGCAGAAAGTGTTGCGGGAGGGGGGATATTTCAGTGTAATTCCTAGTAATTCCAGGTTATCCCTGCTTTCGCGCATATATATCAGTGCGTAGCTGTATCACGGCCGCATCGATCCTGATCGAAATTCTGACGACGGATTCTTGATGTACAACACAACATTACCCTAACCTGAACATTTTTGACGATTCGGAGGCATTTGCAACTTGCTCGGGGGGCCCGCAGACGCGATTTTCACCCAATTTGGCCACTAATTCATCAATAAGTCATCACCACGACACCCAAATGGGAAAATAAGTATATTTTCGTGATCCTCGTGACCTAACGGATGTTGGTACAGATTTTCAGAGGTTGGGAACCATTTCTTGCTGGTCATTGAAAACTCGTGGAAACTATTCGTCTTTACCGCGGAACACCCCCCTGATCTTTAGTCTTCACCGAACTTGGCGACACACGCCGCTGTGATTCGTTGTATCGAACAGCTTCCGAGGCCGTCACATCTTGATACAGAAAGAATATTTCGTAGGTGACAATAACTACTCTCGGAGTACAGCATCAGTGCACCGGCATATTGAGCGTTCATGTCATGAGATGTGTGTTGGCTTTGTACTCTGCAGCAACAACAGCGGAAAGGCGGCATAACTACAGGTACTATTGGTGTCCCCCCCATGGCCGTTGTCCTCGCCGTGGGACCCCTTCAGGCCCCGCTCTCGCGCCGCACGTGCTGGGTGTGCTCCGCGTCTTGACTCTCCCTTATTCTGTGTGTATAGCGAGGTTTCAACACCTGTCAGGGCAGCAGTCAGCAGAGAGTGGGATCAGCAGGGCTATCGTGGACCGATCGAGCATTCAGCTACCAGATGGTGAGAGCCCGCACGCCGACACTCTTGAGGTCCATATTTGAACATCTCACGGCAAACTCTCGCGCTGCAGCTGCGGCTGCCTTTGGCCGTTGGCTATGTTCTCTGCTCTATGGATAATCAAAGACATACAGATCTTCCCAACGAGGAACACGCTGATAGTGGTGCTGGGTTTTATCGGCCTGGGTAATCTACTGGAGTTGGAAAGAGTTGGGCGTTTGTAGGTCCTTCGTTGACGAACGGTCCTATCTCAACAATGTGTTGTACGGACTAACAGCAGTCTTGTTATATTATTTTACATCGACCCTGGTATCCGCTGTAGACCCAGCATCCCACACCCCTTGTATATATTTGTATTTTGCTTCCAAATAGATTTTGATGAAACGCACCATCTGACATCCAGGCTTGTGAGCAATTCTGGTAACGCCCGTAAACCCCGCGTGTAGATGTAGAGTGCACCCCATCTGGCACCCAGGCTCGTGAGGAGCGTTGCTGGTAATGAATGCCCTGCATGTTGTGTTCGGCTGCTGTGCCAAATCGAGGCCGACTGACAATCGTGACTATGAATCAAGACCAATTTAAACAGGAAAGTCTTGAGCAGAACCGCGTTAGCCCTCTCAACATCCCGAGGAACGTTCCCGAGGAAGTGCTCTGATTCTCTCCGTATGCATAGATCCTAGAAGATATTTTTTTATCTTGCAGATTTGCATTCATTCGTACGAATACGGGGGGCGGTGGTCACACCTGGAGATTTAAAGAAACCTTTAAGTCTAACGTATCCAATCCTGCCGGAAGTGTAAACTCCTGAGCTGCCGCGAATCGGACTACAACGGCCCTTACGCACGGTACTGTTGTTTGGCGTTCCTCCCATTCATCAATCAACGGACAGAGTGTGTGATCGCAAGAGTAGCTGGCACTCACACAGACCCCCGAGGACGAGCTCTGACCGCCCCTTCCCCCGCTGTTCAGACCACTAACAAGAGTCTCTCCTGTGGTCAAACACTTCGCTCACAGCTGTCCACAACAACCGTCGTCCCTCCTTTGGCGCACGCTATGACGTACACTCCGTTGTTTCATTGCCGCTTTTTAGTTGTTCTACTCGTTCTTCAAGACCCTGGTGGGGAAGGAGATCGCGGTAGAGCTCAAGAACGACGTCGCTCTCACGGGCACGCTGCACTCCGTGGACCAGTACCTTAACGTTAAGCTGACCGACGTGCACGTTGTCGACGCCGAGCGGTATCCACAGCTGGTGAGTGACAGGACCTCGGGTGCTCGATTTTTATAAACAGCTTGTGGGAACTCAGGATTATAGCAACATGAAAACAAGGAATATTTTGCCTGAGCCGAAATCGACTAGTATCTGATCCAGACGGTGAGGCTCTTCGGACATGGATCATGCATCCTTGTATTGCAGCACTCGGGTTGGTTATCGGTAGCTTCCCGTCGCTGCTTTTGACGCAACGGTCACAGCAGTTTCTTGTGGGCACAAGTCAGTTGCGGTTGGGAAATGGGAGATGCCCACTGTTCGTTTCTCTGGCGGTGAGATGTGCTGTGCCTTCCGCCCTATACTTTGAAAGCAAGGCAGGCGGCGGTATCCAGGGTATGAACTCAAGAGGTAGCGCCGCTGGTTGGTGTAGGACTCGCGTACCAACAGCCACCCACGAAGTCCTCTCGCCGCCGCGCTCACCCCCATTGTCATCCTTTACAACCCATCCCCGCGATGCTTGCATCTACGCAGGGGGCGATCAAGAACTGCTTCATCAGGGGCTCCGTGGTGCGGTACATCCAGATCCCATCGGCGGATGTAGATACAGAGCTGCTGCAGGATGCGTGTCGAAAGGAGAGCGCGCAAGGAAAGTAGTCTACGACAGGAGTAGTGCACGTTCTGCGTTGTTTGTTTCAACGTATTTTACTGGTTCATGCTGTGCCGAGTACAGACTTAGCTGTTTGGAGAAGGAAAGAAGGTTGCACAAGTTCTTCTGGACTTTTTGCCCACTGCTAGCGGTAGATAAAAAGGATTTCATTCGCTGTTGTATCATACGAAAAATTAGATGAAAAAATAGCTTCGAAGTAGCACACAACGCCACCGGTTCAGTGGAAGGCGCACGGATGCGCGAGACACCACCACGATGCTGTCTAGACCTACAGATTGAGTGAGCTCTGTATCGAGGTAGCGATGAATAAGTAGATTGCCGTCTGCCCACGGCTGCTTCCCCAATTGTTTTTTTCTGCAAGTGCCGTGTGTGTGCTTGCTGGGTAAGATGACGTCACAAGAAAGGCACTTCTACTAGTAGGCGTCATACGAAGAAAGGCATCACTACTATTACGTTCGTAGTGAGAAGTAAGCAGAAGACTCCAAAATCCCCTGTCGTGCCATTTGTGTCGTGAAACGAGATGGCGCGTGACGGCGAGGGTGGATAAGAAGAAGGTGGTACACAATATTGTGTTGTTGGTTGACGTTGTCGTCTTGATATAATACCGTCTCGTTCCCTCTGCCCAGCACCTTCTTCTGTCCGCTGAACAATAGTTGGGCCAACACTCGATGAACGGGGTCGATTGTTCGTGGTCACAGTCTAAATGACCGAAAAAAAGGTATGTAGGAAAATTAAGGGTCCGCAAGCCAATAGAAAAAGAAGCCAACGACAGATTCGAGAGTGAAGGCCACTCCGCTCGATTTTAGACGCTATGGACATGCCGAAAGAAGATGAGAATACTGCCGCAAGTATGAACACGATTTTCCCGTGGTGACGGCTAAGTTACTACCGACAGAGGTTCCGCAAGCCAATAGCAGAAGTGCAGGACAGATTCCAGATAGTCTAGGCCACTCCATGTCTGCACGCTATGGATGCCGAAAGAAGATGACAATACTCCCGCAAGCATTAACATGAACCAACCGAGCTTGCACGGCATGGTAAAATCGTCAGACAACACGGGGAAAAACAACGTGCTACTACTACTGCTGTATCGAGGTAGCGATAAACAAAGTTTGTCCTCACTGTACTGCATAGTGCCCAAGATTGCGGCACGAGAAGAGTCTGCAGACTGCAGACGGGCGTGCGAAGAGTCTGCAGACACGCGTGTTCATCAGTTGCAGATGGAACACATCACTGCCACATGAAGGGAAATACAACCGCACCAAACGAGGAGGGCCCGCTGTGATAGTCGCTAGCGCCGCGTACCTCAGCACTACTTTTCACGAAGCACCTAGATACACCTGGCTCTCGCTGACGCGCGCGTGATGACTGCCTTTTCGGCCGTAACAACCGACAGAAGCACTCGAAATTAAGTAAAACAGCCCCTTCGCGCTCCTTCGCCTCTTCGTCCTACACCACAAAACACGCCACACAGCCCGCCGCAATTAAAGAGGCACCCCCAGGGTCAGTGTCTCCCAAGCATGTTAGTGTTCGAGCTGCCACCTCGGTAATAAACTTACACCGGGACTTTGCCGGTGGTCGGGTCGAGATCAACCGGCCACCATGGCGGGATAAGAGGCGAACACCGTCGCCGCCCCGCTTGCCCCTGGCTCGACGCATCAACAACACGGCAGTCCAAGGCTGGGTGGGCATGGCTGTCTTCTTGGCCCCCCGCCGACCCCGTGCTACCCGTTTTGCTGGCATCCGTGCCCCCTGAAGCGGGTGACAAAACCTTGCCCAGACGGAGTAAGGCCAGCCCTACGTTGTACTCTGCTAGGGCAAGGAATGAAGCAAACACCGAAACCGGGCCGCTTAGAAGTTCAGTTCACATGGGCGTGGCAGGGTACCCAAAACATGGCGCTACGGTAGCAGTCTAGGGCGTGTAGTCGTGAAAGGGCACTTCGCGGACACGATTGTCCGCAAGATATGCGGACCGCGATGCCGCATTGCATTGTTGACAATTTCCAGGGAGTCTTATTTTTGTGTGTAGTCCGTGTGGAACCCTTTCCCCCGCGTGCGAGCTGAATTCCTGCCGGCTCGCCACAAACGAGGAAGACGCAGCCAGGGCGTTAAGGGGAAACAAGCTGGAGGAATTCCACAAGCCTGCAGCAGTAGGAACAAGCGTTAACAACTCTTCCCTAATGCACGGTGGAGAGCTGTCACGCTTGTTCCCACTGCTACAGGCATGTGCATTCCAACTTGCTTCATTGGGGGAGAGTTGTCACGCTTGTTCCCGCTGCTACAGGCCTGTGCGTTCGATTCACCAACGCCCTGGCACCGGAAGCCGCGGCAGATAATCGATGGTTGTCCTTCCTGCTCCGCTCACCTGGAGACACGGAGACGAGAGCGCCCAGCCTTCCGTTCTCGGCAGCCCGATCTACAACCTTAGAGCCGGCCTCTGGGGGAGCAGCAACCCCATCCCACCTCGACAGCAGCAATCCTTGACTCTCTCCTGCGTTGGAGGCCGCACTAGGGTCGAAAGATGTCTGAGCCCCTTCTGGGAAAAGAACGGGCAGCACCCTCTTTCGGACGAATCCCTGCACGTTGCGGACGAAGTGAGGGTAATATTGCCATGGTTCAAGCGGAAGGCGTGCTGTCATTCATGGGGCTACTAAACCCATTCGGAAATCGACTACAGTGCGCATCGTGCTGCCATTCGCGAGCTCCTCTTGGCCATCGACCACGCATCCCACCCTCTCTCTCAACGTTGTGGTAGCGACGCTTGGTTTCTAGCCTTACACCAAAGAACGGCCGCACTCGAGCACAGGGCTTCGCGAAACGAACCACGTGACATGCAAGAGAAAACCGCTGTATGCTGCTCGGGGAACCGAAGAAAAACAAGTTGGTCATTCAAGACACTACAAATTACCGTAATCATCGGGGTCTTGGCACATATCGGGGTCTTGGCGCAGGGTGTGCGGAAAAAAAGCGAGTTCCGAATGATTTGCTAGATTATCGCACAGGTATCGTCGTCTGCCCATACTGTGTGGATACGCCGACATGTGCGGTGGGGTTTGGCGGCAAGTGATACCCTTTCACCAGCATCTTGTGCTGGAAATTCCGGATACTGTGGGAGCTTGAATCGCGTGTTCCACTGCTACTGCTGCCCTTGGCACCATGACGATGTTCAAAAATGTGGTATTTGTACTCTTTGTTCTCTTATTTTCGTTCTGAAGAATCAAGATCGGCAAATCGGCAAACGGCATCCACTCAACAATTCTAAACGCAGATGAAACCAAAAACGAAGCAAAATCACACCAAACTACCACTACGAGCTACCAACGTCCTACTACTGTACTTCCTAGGCGGGTTGAACTCTACTTCGTGCCCGCGCCCCTACCATCGCAAAAACATCCATATCTCACTGGCAATCCCAAAGAACTATGATTCAACTACTTCTCCTTCGGCGCCCCCGCCCCCCTGCCCCTCCACGACTTCCACGTCGCTGTCGCCCTCCAAGACCTCCACCTCGCTGTCGCTCTCATCAGGGACGTAGGGCAGCAGCTTCCCCTCGACCTCCTTCTGAGCAGCCATGATGGGGTTGGAGTCGAACCCCCCTGGTACCTTCGGCAGCTTGAGCGGCGGGAGAGTCACGTCGGGGTGCTCAGCGAGCCACACGGCTTGCTGGTCCTCGAGAAGGTCGCGGTAGTCTTCCCCGAAGANTGGTACCTTCGGCAGCTTGAGCGGCGGGAGAGTCACATTGGGGTGCTCAGCGAGCCACACGGCGTGCTGCTCCTCGAGAAGGTCGCGGTAGTCTTCCCCGAAGTTGTGCGCGCACCAGGCGTGGTCTTCGCTGCCGTCGAGCGCGAGCGTGAGACCGCAGATCTTGAAGCAAGTCTTCACCGTCTCGGGGGTGATGGACTCCCACGCTCCCTTGCACCACGTAGAGACGACCCCACGCTCCGGTGGCTTCAGCTTCCCCGACCGGGCGTCTGTCGCAGACGCGCTGTAGGCGGTGTACTTGCTCCGCAGCAGCCGCTTCGTCTGCTTGTTGAGCATGCGGTCGAGCGGTTGGAGCAAGGGCGTCAACCCGCCTGGGATGAAGATGACGATGGTGTTGGCGTCTCTCTTGAGGGCGGCGATGAAACCCTCGTCCTTGTGGCACTTGAAGTCGTCCAGCACCAGGATGCACGGGCGCTGCTGGACGATGCTGCCGTTGTTGGGACGGAGCTTCCAGCTGCCCGAGGTCCACCCGTTGCACTCCCGCTGGTCACTCCAGCTCTTCTCCTGCACACCGAAGGACATGCCGTTGGCAGGGTGGCCGTGCTTGGCGCGGTTCGTAGGATGCATCTCCCACGCGACGGAGTTCTTCCGCGGCAGGGTGCTCTTGCCCTTGCCGCTCACGGTCGGGGGGATGAACGGCGTGCCCATGAAGATGATGCGCAGCGAAACCTTTTTGCCGTCCGCCGTGACAGCCAGAACGAGCGTGAAGCGTTCCTTCTCTTCGCCTGAGGGGAGGGGGAAAAAATCAACGCGAGGGA